CCCACCCCTGGGAAGGGAGGAGAGCCCTAAGCCTCGCAGGCTGGACCAAGGCAAGCCACAGCCCAGAGGTTCCCCATCCCTGTTGTGTACGCTCACCACCAGTCTGCTCTTAATAAGCACAGCGTCCCACAATGCTTTATTTAACCACGATCCTGCCCTGAGTGCCAGGGACTGGCCTCGATAAGCTGGCAAAGTTCCTTCCAGTTCTATGGAAGGGAGGAGAGCCCTAAGCCTCGCAGGCTGGACCAAGGCAAGCCACAGCCCAGAGGTTCCCCATCCCTGTTGTGTACGCTCACCACCAGTCTGCTCTTAATAAGCACAGCGTCCCACAATGCTTTATTTAACCACGATCCTGCCCTGAGTGCCAGGGACTGGCCTCGATAAGCTGGCAAAGTTCCTTCCAGTTCTATGGTAAACAAGAAGGAGAAAAGGATTTTCAAAGAGTTTTCGAAATGGTTAAATACATAAGTCATGGCAGAAAACTCCAGTTTGTCTCATGACTCTGCAAAAATGAAAAGCAAATCAAAGGCCTGGGGAAATATGTGTAAAAATGCTAAATATTCTGGTGTCACCTTGCTCTGATCACCTAGGAAGAAGGAACTGGGTACCACAGCAATCCCCAAATTTGAGGAAATGTGTAGGAAATATTGGGTACCACAGCAATCCCCAAATTTGACAGCGGGGTGTGAGATTGCACAAATTCATGTTGTATTTACCAATTTTATTTATTTATTTGTAGTGATGCTGTAATCTTGAAATTCTGCTTGGCATTTCACTTCAGATTAAAACGTGAATTGGTTATAAATTGCTAGATAATGACAGGATCAGCTGCACTGCATCAGTAGTTGTCTAAATCTGGGGAGGAAGATTTGCTACAGATGGGGTTTTCTGATTCCACTGCGTTTTGAAAATGCAAATCTAACTACAGTATGGTTTTTAAATGGTGACCATCTATGTCTAAGGCAATGTTAATGGAATCAAGAGCCTATTCTGTTTAAAAATCTCATCTTACCAACAGCCAACAGATACTACAGCAAGCCTCCCTTCTGAGAATACCGGGTTAAGAAAGTAAGGCTATACATAAGTGTTATACCAGCCCCCCGGGTTTGTTCAGCTGGATCATACCTGCACCTCCATCCAACAGTGCAGAGACCAGGTTTCAAGGGCAGTTTTGAAATGACCTCTGGAGGGTTTATGGGAATGAAGAGCATTTGTTATACAGGAAAGACATGATACAGCACCGAGTCACTGGACAGCACTGATAACGGTCTCTCTACAAATCCAGCAAGGGATTTTTGCATGGCAAATGTAAAGTGGGATAGAACATAAGGTGGAGGATTTCAGAATAAAATGAAGTGACGGTGGGAAAATAAGTGATTCCTACTAGCCTAACTTAATAAGTAGAAACAATGTCCGCCCTTAATAACCTCAGTCTCTGCATCTTTGGCAGGCAGGAGGTGAAGGAGGGATCACTGTACTCAAATGCTTGAAGAGCAAGTGACCTACCCTGAAATCAAAGAGTGAATAACAACTGTAATAGGCACCTGCCACCGGAGGATCTCAACATGCTTTCTGAACATTGCATTAACTCACATGCAGCAATCCAGCAACCCTACCCCACCCTGGGAAGTTGTGATGCAGATAGGGAAAATGAGGCACAAAAGATTTTGATACCCCAAGATTACACAGCGAGCTTGCGACACAGCTAGGGTTGGGAGCAGATCTCCTGCATCTCAGTCCCAGGTTTTGCTCACTCTCCAGTCCAGGTACTTCCATGCTTTCTGGAAAATTATTGATGTCATATTTCATGCTCAATTGTGTATTAAAAATAGTTCTCTCTTACCTACATACATCACACCCTCCTTGGTCTTCTCCGCAGCCTCGGTCACTCCCTGTTTGGTCTTTTCTGCTGCAGCCACCACACCTTCTTTCGCAATGGAGAAGCCTTTCTTAAAGACATCCATCTTCGTCTGCTTGCTTTGGGGCGCGTCGCAGGTCTGGGCCGAGGGTGCTGGTGACAAGCCCCCGAGGCACGCTGCGCTGTGCACGCTTACCCGTCTGGGGCTGCTGCGTCTCTCTGCGCCTTTGTCTCTGGCTGCCTTTGGCTCTGATTCCCCTGCGGGATGAAGACAGCGTGGTGAGCCACACAGCCCGTGACAGTTCTTATTGACGAGCTGCGCTGCGAGGTAGCCAATGCCTGCCCCTGGCTGATGCTGAAATATTAATGACCAAGATCTGCATGTCCAGAGTGAGGATGGGAAGAAAAAGGGGATGGGGGAGGAGGTAGGTTGAGGGCCTTTTTGGAAAATGTCCAGGTGATTAAAGCTTTTAAGATCTGCTGCAGTGCTCTCACTCAAGGACACGCTGCAGAGCCTCTCAGCTGGAGCGGGAGGATCTTAACAACCAAGCTCGAGGGAACTTGTGTTTTAAAAGCATAAATCTCTGAGGATACGGCGGAAAGAGCAAATGTGCTCCGAACAAAACAAGCCGTCAGGTTTCTTTTGCTGGCGGTTACCAGAACGCTCCCCTAATAAAGGGGCACAGCAAACAGCTCTGTGTAGCTTTTTTTGTGTTGCTGTAGACACAACTCAGCTGCTGCAGAATGATGCAACATTTTTACACAGGCATCATCACTCACAGGAGATGGGCGCGCTGTCGGTACTGTTGGGGGGGGGGAATCAACCTTTGATCTGACACTGGCTTGTGGAAAATCTCTTAGGCCACAGATAAAGCCTCTCCAAAATTAAGGCTCAGCTCTGCAAACCCCTAATGCATGGGCCTAATTTTACGTGTGAGAGTAATCCCATTGGGTTGAACTGAGCTACTCGTTTGTGCTTAAAGCTAGGTACATGTTTCAGTGCTTTGCTGAATCGGTTCTAAGTACTGAGTGAACCAAGTTAGTGGTTTCCTCACTGACAAATTGTAATTCAAAGAAACTAGATTTGACAGTAATTGTTTGACCATTTTCTAGCACAATGAAAAGTGCTGAGCAGCTGGCTTTATGGAAATTGAGGACCACATAATTTGTATTATTCTACTACAGTAGACTTCTGTTAATCTGGCACCTTTGGGATCCAGGGGGTGCTGGATTATCGGATATGCCGGAGTACCAGGAGGTACTCCAGCGGGGGGCTGTGACGGATCTGCCGGGACCCACACTG